ATAATTTATGCTAAACCGATTTTACGAAATAAGATAAAAAGGATAAAGCATTTGCCGTTGATCAATCCCTTTTGGGATGCGGCACGCATTCTACTTCCATTTGTACATTCGTAGTGGCGTTTGAATGCGATGTGGCCTATACAATGACTTGCGGGGGCCAGCCGATGTACAAGTCAGTGTTTTTTATCCTCCCAGACAAGTCTGGTACCAATTAACCGACCCCGGAGGGATGGAAGGCTTGGTTGGCCCGGCGACTCACGACCCAGGATTTGATCCCCGGACCGCTCGCGTGGTAAGCGTGCCACTTGCCACTACACCACTTCCGCCCATGTCATAGATGTCTTAAATGAAAACGTCATCTAATTTCCATGCCGTTACATCTTTTTTTTGTTGCTCTAACGAACTACTCGTAGAATAAAATAATATTCTCAAGTTTTAATGAATGAGGGTTTGTAGAAAACAAAGGATCGAGCTTCAATAAGATTCTTTTCAGCTAACTTTTGCTTTTCAGGAATGTTAGACATTAGCGAACAGAAAGCAACTACTTCTAGTGCTGTCGGCGATAAAGGTAATTTGAAGTATTTAAAAGTTTAGAATTTGGTCATTCTGGGAAAAAATTTGAAACCCAGTGTTCAAACGCATTGCCCCAGGATCAGACTGGTGTGGTTCTCGCACACGAAATGGAAGTATTCGTCCGAATCGGGTCGGCAGTAAGAGAGCAACATGTGAGAGGACGCTAGAGAACAGCTCGCTGCGGACCTGGAACATTGCAGTTGCTGCAGCTAACTTTGCAAGGCCATAGGCCCCTTTTCGGGTGATCTCCATGCAGGGGAACGCCACACCTGTTCTCTAGGGGTTAACCTATGCAAGGGATCGTTCGCACGACTTCTACCTGGATTGTGCCTTTAGTATATTTTCCTCTGAGTTTTTTTTTATAATACACCCCCACGGAGGCCATGCCTCAAAAATTTAACGGGCGCACGCGACTTTTCCGTACGTAATGTTGTGCCCAGTGCACTCCGGTGGACCATTCTCGCTCAAGGGCCGAGAGACAGTAAGCATCCCGTTGTCAGGAGGTGTAGCCTTTGAGCCAATGGCAATTCTGAAGTTTTTTTCTGACGTGCCAAGGAGTTCAAGCGCTACCGAGGTTGTACAACGGTTATCTCAAAGTTGCACGACGCATGGAATAATTAAAGACATAATCCAGGCATAAGTCGTGTGGATAATTTCCTTTGCTCTGTCGGAAAGACCCTGGAGGGCAATTACTCCTGTGCATGGAGATCCCCGACAAGGGCGCAGTCTTGCGAATCTAGCTGCATCTGCTGCAATGTTCCCCGTCCACAGCAGCGTCTGTTGTCTGGCGCCTCTCATCTGCTGCGCTCTCTCGCCTCATACTCTCCTCTCCGCGCTTAGTCTCTCATTGCCTTAGCACAGCCAATTACGAAGGTGAGCAAGCCCTCAACCTAAGCGTTTTCGACGGATTCTTTTCCTTTTTCTTCACTGCAATAACTTCGTATAACTTCGAGCCCGTCTGGGATCTCGTCTTTAGCATTCTAGAAATCTTACACCTTACTTCAACGGTCACCACAGAGCCACAGGAAGTGTAAGGCTCAGACATGATTTTGCTGTCGAATGGTGCAACTTCGCAGGTCCTTGATCTTTGATTGGGCCCGGAACTTCGGATTCACTGCCGCAGTTGCGTGAGGGTAAACCAGCGTACCTCTTCACAGCGCGCAAAATGATGCTGACTGCATGGTAATCCTACCTGCCAGCAGTGAAGTCTACGAGACGTTGACAAGTTGAAAATGTCCCAGGATCTCATAGAAGAAGTCAGCGCACAATTTTGCCCTGATCACTCACAAGCTCATTCTCTACTATATTTACGATCCTCGGCGTTGGTTTGTTATGGTCATCTCTGAAAATAAATTCATCATTTGATTCACGAACTACACGTAGATGGAGCATTAAGAGACGTCCGCTGCATCCTTGGCAGAGGTCGCGATAGAATTGGTGTGTATCCGCGTTAAGGCATTAGAAAAAGAAAGCCACCCTCCGCCTTTCACTAATGATTCATCTAACACTGCATGACTTCTTCTCGAAGCACGCAGCACTGAAATTGGGCGATCTGAGTCAGCTCGAAGAAAGCTTGTGGAGTAAACACAAAAAGCAATAGGGCCATATTTATAACTAATCGTTCTCTTCTTTTATATGGGACGTCGAAGTGCTAGCTTTCCATGAGATGGAAAAGCCTGGCATTTTAACAGTAGGCATGCGCGATCCAAACTTGAGCTCCGATTCTGATCGTTCCTCGATGAAACGCTCTAGCACACGCCATGAACCGAATGGTGTGTTGCGACCATCGAAACGGAAGAATGAAGGAGGTGACAGTGTCTCTCCGCTACTCTTCAGATTGCATGTTGCATTCCAGAATGACCTCGGATGATAATCTTAAGATAATTGAAACTCTTTTGAGTTGTGCAGATGCTCATGATTTATCATTTCCAAAGTAATCCCAGGCCATCAAGAGATCCGCAACGAATGAGACGCTAAATTACTCAGGCCTTGTACAAGAATATAAAATATATATATATATATATATATATAGAGTGTATATGTATATTAAGATATCACATGATGCCGGTGAAACGCCAAGAAAAATTAAAGAAATGCTAAAAGAGGCTCGCATCATGCGTGGATTACGACACCCCAATATTGTATCACTCGTTGGAGTCGTTTTGATTGATCATCCTATTTATATCATTCTGGAACTTATGCAAGGTGATCGAGTTTAAACTCGGAACAGACTCTGTTCTTCACTGCACTGTGATGCTTTTGCTTAAAGTAACAATTAAGTTTTTAAGGGGGAGCATTAGACGCCTACTTGAGGAAGAACCAGAAACGCGTCACAAGCGAAGAACGTCTTCGATTTGTAGTGAGCGTTGCGTGGGGAATGGAATATCTACACAGCGTTCCAATTCTGCACCGAATCTAGCGGCAGAAAAATTGTTGTATGATGGAAAAACCTACGTGAGTTTTTCCCTTTATGGTGAACCATCTTGAAGAAAACTTAGATCTGTAATACAAGAAACTCTAAAAAGGAGGCAGTCTATCGAATATGTGAAGACGAAGAAATTTAGGTGAAAATCGCGGATTTTGGTCTGTCAAAGAAGGGAACCACCTACAAGATGAAAGCAATTCCAAAAGATGCCAATAAGATACATGGCTCCGGAAAGTCTCCAACAATATTTTCACACCCAAAAGACGGACGTCTACACATACGGGGTAAATTGGTTGTTATTTTATTAGTACAAAGAAATAGAAACAACCTGCGGTTGGG